GAAACGCCTAAATAATGTAATCGAACTGGGCGTTTTTCGGAAAGTTTTAAGAGAAGAGGTGGCATCTTGCGTGGATCCCGTATTTTTATCTCGTCTTTATGAAGGTCAGCGTTCTGATGTTATCAAATAAGTTAACAAATTAAATTTCGTTTAAAGAGAAAATGTTCAAAATATACTACCTCCAGTTCCGAATCTTCAATTCTCGGCATATACTCCTCTTGATAATTTTCATTCTCATTCAAAAGAGCAAATTCACCTTGGTAAAATGCGGTTAGCAATTCTAAACATCGCGTTCCATATCCCATCTGACATTATGCCACATTTAAAATTTAGAAATATTAATTATTATTATTTTCATCAAAAGAAAAGTATGTTACCTTCATGTAATCTGGATGGGTCGCTATTCTAACAATCCGAGCCCCTGATAAACTAGCGAAATCATCGTCTTGAAACTGAATAATATTTTAGTATTGGTTATATGAGGGAATTCATTATTTTTTAAAAAAATGTTAAATCAATGAATAACCTGTTGTGAAATCAACCATGGTATGAGATCTCCACTAGCACGCGTGCCACGTTTTAAACTACTCATAATTCCCTCTTTTGAGATTTCGCCTTCTAGGCATACCTATTTAATAATAATTTTTTATTAGAAAATAAATAAAAATTATGTAACTTTCTTTTAATTAACTTGCCTGAACAACACAAAGAGGGTCAGGCAGTGAATTGTCACCTTCTTTTATAGGTGGCAATAGGACAAACAGGTGATGCGCGGGTGCATCAGACAATAACTGTAAATCATTAGGCGAATTTTTATAATGACTAGCGACGTAAAGCGCCATCATACGTTGCAAAAATGTCTCTGACACCGTATGGAAAGAGAATAACGTATCACGATTAACGTAATAAAGTTCACATTTCTGTGGATGTGGGCATCCTTGAATATTTTTGGAAACAATAGTCGCATCTAAGCATAATAGCTTATTCAGCCATTTTTCAATAGGATCGTTTGGTCCATAACGAATAGGCTCCTCAAGTTTGATTTCTCGAAGGACTCGGCCTCCAACTGATATTCCATCAATAATGGATGCAGTATCTTTTTTTTTCTTTCCATCACGATTTACAGTGACTGCATTATCATTAGGATCCACCCGGACTTCCTTGCCTATGAATCCCTTGGATTGCTCGCGGAGTTGATGAATGAGTTTGAGGGACAAGGATCTGCCAGTACCTTCATATCCATTTATAGTCGATGCCATGAATACCAAGTAAGGACCAATAAGATTTTTGACAAGAGGTAAGGGGATTGCTGCCGCTTCGTCGATTACTACCAACTCGGCTTGACCTAACACGTGGGCATCTTGTGGTTGAATATACTTTTAAATAAATGCTAAAATGTTATTATTGATAATCCTTGAATCCATACGATAAACATCATTAAAGAATATGATGAATTACTTGAATTGTTTGCCTATGTTGTCTAAAGATATTGACTCTGACTATAGATTTGTTGAAATCAGGATTTGTCGATTGTATTATATCATAATCCAGGTGCTCCTCATACTCAAGAGCATCAAATCCTTTGAATACGAACTCAAATAATGTTTTTAAGTTTTCGGGACTTGGTGAAGTGACGAAAATATTAGAGTATCCGTAACCAACTGCAGCAGCAATTGCTATTCCAAGAGCGGCTGATTTGCCGCGGCCACGAGAAGCTGTAAGCGTAACTGTGCTGCGCAATCTCTTTTCTGATATTGCCTCAATGAAGGTGAGAATGGCTTTCCCCTGATCAAGGGTCTTAGCAGTAGCAACGAGGGAACCCGCAGGTTGTGTGTCAGCTAACGAGTCTTTCAATTCTCTAAGTTGGGTTTGCTGTTCTGTAATTGATTCGTCGGACAGATTCAACGGTAATGGTTTCACATTTTTTCCTGCGGATATTGGCAATACGTTTAATTCATCGTCAACTACAAGACAAGTTTCACATGATCCCAAGGAGAGGATAAACCTTTCATTGAAACGTGCAATCACGTCGTCATGGGCTTCCGTTCGGTAACGGGAATGAACATCCTATACAATTATTTTTAATTTAACAGCTTAGAAAAAAAGAATATCTCACGCGTATATCATTACCATTGTCAAAGTGTACAACTGTTTTAGAGATGTCATTGTCTTGAGCAATAAAATTACGATGCCACCGCCTTCTACTGTTTCAATGGTACGTGCTAATAGATTTGGAGTCAAGGCTTCGAAATCCTTGGAAAATTTTGAAAATTAAAATGATATATTAAAAATAGGAAAACACGGTCTTTATTGTTTTGAGGAGACATACCTGTAGCACGCACATTCCATACGTATTACCCAATATGTTATGCGTTTCTTTATAATATGTGTATCGGATATTTGTAACTGAAATAAATAGTTCAAATGGATCTTCCTCATTAGGTTCTCTTATTCCACGTTTTATTTCTTTTTTGATTTTCGCCTCCCTTTTCTTACGGTGACTACGGTAATAAATGCAATGACTCGTTAGAACAGATACCGATAATGAAAAAGTTTTGCCAACAAACCTAGTAAAGCCTAATTCTTTTTTATAGCACCATAATACCGAAGGACGTGCAGTCACTTGGGCTTGCGAAAGTATCCAATGCAAATTAACTACCTTTAATTTTAAAAATGCAGAAGTCGATTAATAATTTAAGGATTACAATTTAATATTCGAGAATCGGCTGACCTGATCCCTGCCCTTATCACCAACAATTATGAAGAACGAACGATGTTTGTTTTGCACGCCATTTTTTATTATAGTAGGAATTCTAGAATCTATTACTTTTTTAACCATTTTATTTAATTACGTTCTTTTAACTGATGCGGATTATCTAAGAAAAATTTGTAGGTCTCGTCTATTTATATAAGCATACGTTTCGCATAACATGTGATCGTATGTCTATTTTCGGTATTTGACCTAATTCACCTGGTTAGTAAATTAGAATTTGTTAAAAACAGAGATGAGAAAAAAAAAAAAAAAGAGCAAATAATAACTAGCTTCTAATTATACTATAAATCACATATTGAAAAAAATTAAGTTTTTGTAATACTAGGCTTGAAATTATAGTTTTTGTTTTTTTAAAATTGAATAAAATAAAAAAAAACAAATTAAAAAATTTTTTTTTTAAATACGTATTAAATAAATATATTGTATTATATATATATATTGTATTTAGATTAATATTAGTAAAAAAAATTTTATTATATGATAATATTATTGTTAACATTGAATTTGAAAATAAAAAGTTTTTTTTTAATAAATTTAATCTATAATTATCAAATTTTAACAAAAAATCATATTTTCAAAGATATTTATAATTTTTTATATTAAAAAAATTATTTTTTTGAATTCTTATACTGCAATTAATATTTTTTTAATAATCAAATTATGTTTTATGATTATAATTTAGATATAATTAATATTTAAAATCAGTTGTAACTTTTTATAAAAAATTTTATTAACTTTAAATAATCTTTTAAAATAAATAGAATAAATATGGTTATTTATCATTATAAAAAAAAAGTAACATTAAAATTACATACCTAAAAAAATGATTTTCAAAATACTGCTTAAGCCAAATTCAATTATTCATTTACAAAATTGCAGTATATTTAATAAAATTTTGATATTATTGTATAATTTTACTTTTCTCAAAATTTTTATAAAATAAATAATATGTTAGACTTTGTTTCTTTTATTTCTTGAAGGGGGATACATTACTTTTTTTTTTTAATGGAAGATTTTGAAGATTTGGATAATCCCAGGTGACAAAGAAATGGCACATGCTTCGTTGAAGCCTCGTCAAAAGCAGATGAGGTGAAACCCAAATTGTTTCCTGTATGTAGGAAGATCCGGTTTTCAACATGTAGTTTTAAAAAATTCCTTCGTTATTAGCTATTAAGTTTCTTAAATCAAGTCATTATAAACCGAATTTCATGTCAAATTACAATATAATTACCTATTTATATTATTTATTTCATTGTCCCGGTGTTATAGGTTTATCCAGGAAAGGAGATCCTTCACATGATATAAAAGACGGAGCGGCCTGATTACGTATTGCTAGTTTGTCTTCGTGATATTCCATGTCGGATTAAAATTTTGATATTTCTAATACGGACAAAAGATAACGTAGATTATAATCAGTTTTCAAAAAATTATAAATCAAGTTTCGATTTCTATTCACAAATTATCCACGGTTCACTCAAAGAATATAATTTTTTTAGATTTACCTCTAAGTGCATTTACAATTGGAAAAGTTAGCGGCATATAAAGTAGCATAACATCGCAATTATCGAAATAACAATGAACTCACCATTATTAATAATATATTGCCTTCTAATTATATTTCGTTTTGGATGTTATTATACCTTATAATCGTTCTCCTTTGATTTAACGAACCCGGCGTTTCCATTATTTAATTATTATCTACAATGTCATTCACTAAAGATACATTTTATTTTAAATGGTCATTAGAAATTTTGTTCTCAACATAACACTGAAATTATCTAAATAACCTCACCTAAATTATCAAAAACTATATTATAACATATAGAACGCGGATCGATCAAATAAATAACGTGACAAACTTCTTTGGTTTATAATCAATCATGTCTAGATCCTCTGCAAAAAATCAGCAAAATCCGATGTTCATCTAATAAATAAAAGGGACTTAATATGAAGGCGTTATCGGTAATTTAAAAGAACAGGGGAACTAGAATATTACCGTTTATCTTTAAGGAGAGGATACATTGGGTAATCGTGTAGCTCGGATCAATTACAGTTTAATTTTTAATGTAAACTTGGGAACCTACGGAGTATTTGAAAAGCGTACAAGCAACCATATTTCGAGTATATATTAGAGAGGTGTGTTTTATATTCGAATATTCTTTTCAGAACTAGTCTCCATTGTGACAGTGGTTGCCATACACCAAAATAGATAAATATAATAAATAAATAAATAGTAAAAAGATAGAGTAATAATATCCTAATGACCTAGATAAAGTAAATTGAAAAAAAATTTTCATACCAAGACAGGTGTGCTAAACCTTGCTGAGTCATGTTTTCTAAACATCCATTTAAACAGTTTTCAAACTTTACATTTAATCAAACGTATACTTTAAGATTCGATCCAGATATCTCTGCATTAAAGAATTCCTTAACCTTTAAATTAAATATTATAAGTAAAAGGTTTTTCAATTCTCCATAAATTGCAAGGTCAAATGTCAAATTTACTAACTTCGTATCCTGCCTCTGAAAACTCATCGGAATTCCATGGAATTATCTAATGACTGATTCATTCAAGTTTTTAATAAACTTTGTACTTTATATATATATATACTGTATATTAAAAAAATAAAGAATAAGGTTTTTATCAACAGCATTAATTTTCCAAAGACAAAATCTAACTCAAGGGCAAAAATTTGAAATCCACCGTACTGCCGCATCTGTTTTTTTTTTATTCACACGTGAGCATTCATAATGTTATAAATAATTAAAATGAGTCTTTCGAGCGAATTGTTATATCATAAGACTTTTTTTTAATTCACTCATATCGCATTAACATTTGTTCAAGACAACTATTGTCAAATGAACATTAACGAGAAAACATAATTATCTAAAATGTCAATGCATCCTCTTCTAAATTCTTACTTAATCTCTAAAATTTTACAGAATGCCGCACAACTACGAAGAGTGTGTTTACAACTTACACATAACTTACGTCTACTTGGATTAACAATTCCTTTTTGGGAAACCCTGATTTAATCTAATAGTAACGTTTTCACGTGCACTTTATAACTGAGGCGACTATGGAAATTATATGTGATTACTTAATCGAGTTCGTGACGTAGCTATGATAATAGTTAAATTGGGTTTATTTAAGTGACGGTATCACGAGTCTTATTTGACTGTTGATAATTTCGAGATAACCAATCTTCAGATTAATTATTTTCGCTAATGTAAGCTTCCGAGTCTTTAATGGCACCTCTTTGCTTTAAGAGACGCATATTCATCAAACTTAAACCTTTCACGTTTTTAATAGATGCTTTAGAAACCCATAACATATTTTGACGTGAAGTCCAATGTAAAGTAACTTGCGACGTTTGATCATCTATTCTTTCTACATGCCACAAACGAATAACTTTATCTCCACTACTCGTTAATAGAAACTTTTCTGCTTTTACATCCTTCCAATCAAGACTAAAAACTGCTCCGGAAAAGTATATAATGGCCAGGCAATTACTGGACACTGTAGACCACAGTCGCACCGTATTGTCTGAGCTGCCCGATGCCAGTTGGGTACCATCAGGTGAAAAGGTCACACTATTAATATAATAAGTATGTCCTTCTAGAATGCGTGGATTCTGATCTAAATTTTCGAGAGACCACAGCCGCACCGTATTGTCTGAGCTTCCTGATGCCAGTTGGGTGCCATCAGGCGAGAAGGTCACACTATTAACACAATCAGTATGTCCTTCTAGAATGCGTGGATTCAGATCTAAATTCTCGAGTGACCACAGTCGCACCGTTTTGTCATCACTTCCCGATGCTAGTCGTGTGCCATCAGGTGAGAAGGTCGCACTATTAACATAATCAGTATGTCCTTCTAGAATGCGTGGGTTCAAATATAAATTCTCGAGAGACCACAGCCGCACCATATTGTCATCGCTGCCCGATGCTAGTTGGGTGTCATCAGGTGAGAAGGCCACACTCCAAACGGTATTGGTATGTCTTAGAACGCGTGGATTCAGATCTAAATTCTCGAGTAACCACAGTCGCACCGTATTATCATCGCTACCCGATGCCAGCTGGGTGCCATCAGGTGAGAATGTCACACTTAGAACACTATTGTTGTGTCCTTCTAGAATGCGTGGATTATGGTCTAAGTTTTCGAGTGACCACAGCCTCACTGTATTGTCTTCGCTACCCGATGCCAGTTGGATGCCATCAGGTGAGAAGGTCACACTTAGAACACTATTATTATGTCCTTCTAGAATGCGTGGATTTATATCTAAATTTTCGAGTGACCACAGCCGCACCGTATTATCATCACTGCCCGATGCCAGTTGAGTACCATCAGGTGAGAAGGCCACACTTAGAACACTATTATTGTGTCCTAGAATACGTGGATTCTGATCTAAATTTTCGAGAGACCACAGTCGCACCGTATTGTCTGAGCTGCCTGATGCCAGTTGGGTGCCATCAGGTGAGAAGGTCACACTATAAAAGAAGGAGATAATTCACTGCCTGACCCTCTTTGCGTTGTTCAGGCAAGTTAATTAAAAGAAATTTTACATAATTTTTTATTTATTTTCTAATAAAAAATTATTAATAAATAGGTATGCCTAGAAGGAGAAATCTCAAAAGAGGGAATTTTGAGTAGTTTAAAACGTGGCACGCGTGCTAATGGAGATCTCATACCATGGTTGATTGCACAACAGGTTATTCATTGATTTTTTTAAAAATTAATAAATTTCCTCATATAACTAATACTAAAAATATTATTCAGTTTCAAGACGATGATTTCGCTAGTTTGTCAGGGGCTCGGATCGTTAGAATAGCGACCCATCCAGATTACATGAAGGTAACATACTTTTCTTTCGATGAAAATAATAATAAATAATATTTCTAAATTTTAAAAGTGGCATACTGTCAGATGGGATATGGAACGCGATGTCTGGAATTGCTAACCGCATTTTACCAAGGTGAATTTGCTCTTTTGAATGAGAACGAAAATTATCAAGAGGAGTATATGCCGAGAATTGACGATTTGGAACTGGAGGTAGAATATTTTGAATATTTTGAACATTTTATCTTTAAACGAAATTTAATTTGTTAACTTATTTGATTTATAACATTAGAACGCTGACCTTCTTAAAGACGAGATAAAAATACGAGATCCACGCAAGATGCCACCTCTTCTCTTAAAACTTTCCGAAAAACGCCCAGTTCGATTACATTATTTAGGCGTTTC